AGGGCACATATAATTATGTCTATTCTTTCATTTCAAATAATATTTTTTCTTACAGTGTTGATCAGACTATAAAAAGAACTGTACCATCCAATAAAGTTGCCACTAATGATATTTGGCTATGTAAGTTTAAATCATTAAACAGCATTATAATTTGTTTCAGTTGTACTAGCCACATTTAAGGTGCTCAAAACCACACATAGCTAATGACTATAGTGTTGTCAGCATAGGTAGAGGACATTTCTGGCATCATAGAAAGTTCTACTGGACAATGTTGGGCCAAAGATTTATCAGTTTCATTTTCTTTCTAAAAGATCTAAATTTCACTACTGTTAGCTTTGTGTTGTTCATTTTAGCTTTCAATTTTATTTCCTTCTTTCTACTTCATCTGGGTCTAACAACATGGGTCTCTTTTTCCTAGAATGATACTCTAAATGTTTATATTACTGCTTTTTAACTTTTTGTTGTCACATTTTTTGTTTTTTTAACCGGAGATCGAACTCACGACCTTGCGCTTGCCAGGCAGGCGCTTACACCGCTGAGCTAAATCCCCAGCCCTAACTTTGTTTGGTTTTGAGACATGGTCTTGCTATGTAGCCCAGGCTGCTATGGTGATCCTCTTGCCTCAGCCTCCCAAGTGCTGGGAATACAGGATTACATCATGCCCCAGATCACTGCTTTTTAACTTACTTTTTTCCTAATAAAGCTGTTAATTTTAATTCTACACACTTGTGTAAGTGAATTCTACACACTATAATAATATGCTGTGTTTTCATACCAATCAAAATACTTTCAAGTTACCCTTTTGAATTTTTGGCTCAGGAGTTACATATTTTGCTTATTTTCCAAGCTTTGGAGGGTTTCCCACATATTTTTCTGTTAGTAATTTTTATTTAATTCCAATTTGGTCAGACAATATATTTTAAATTTTCAATCATTTGTGTGACCAGACTAATGCCAGAGACTAGACACTCTCAAAATAGTGAAGGTAATGAGCTGAAGTAAACCTCTGGTCAAATGCTGATCATCTTGTCAATTAACATCATGTTCTAATTGTCACAAAACTGACTGAAGGCCAGAAATGAGTTCGAATAGAAGTGAGATTCTTGTATGCTACTCTTGCTCTTTCTCCTACGTGGGATTCCTTCTTCTTCCCAGGGCTCCTGACTTGCCTGCAAGTGAGGGTGCAGCGCATGCTCCCAGAACTTCAACTTCTCCCCACCTTCCAACTTCCATCCTGCCAAATCTCACCCACTGCAGAGACAGAGGAGCACTGGAAATGAAGAGGAGGAGCCACAATACCTGATATGTATGAATATCCAAGGTCATACACTGTCACTTCTGCCACATTCCATTTATTAAAAACAAGTCACTAAGTACAACATAAGCCTTTTGAAGGGAGGAGTATCAAACAATTTGTGGACACATTTTAAATCCCAAAACAATGTCATAATTTTTACTTTAAAGGAAATTAAGAGAAAGAAAGAAAATACTTAGTTATTTTTTCAAACATATTTCTGGCTTCTTCATTCCTTCCAAAATCCATGGATCTGCAAATTAGAGTCCATGGCCCAAATCAAACCCACTGCTTATCTCTTTATCATCTATGAACTAAGAATTGCTTTTAAATAACTGAGAAAAATAAGAATGTTTTGTAACATGAAAATCATATAAACTTTAAATATCAATATCCACAATAAAGTTTTATTAGAACATAGTCTTATCTGTTTATTTATTCATCATTTATGGCTCTGTCCACAGTAGAGCTAGTTTTCAACAGAAAAGCCAAAAATTTCCATAGTCTGGCCTTTTGCAGTAAAACTTCACTGAGCCCTAGTAAGATCGAAATTACCATGATAAAGTAATTTCTTTTAGCCTTCTATTATTATTTCTCATAGATTACATGGTGTGTGATGTGTGATGTGTGGTGTGTGTGTGTGTCTGTGTTTGGGTTGTGTATGTTTTAGCTTTTTGGGTTTTATTCTATTGTTTTGTTTGAGACAGAGTCTCATTCTGTAAATTCAAGCTGGCCTTAAACTCACTATGTAGCTCAGGCTGGTGTAGAACTCATAATGATCTTCCTGTTTCAGCCTCCCAAGTGCTGGGATTACAGGTATGTGCTACCATACATGGCTAGAGTACATATTATAGTGAATGTTCTCTTGGATTCTATTTATCTCAAAATGTCTTTATTTCATTTTCATTTCTGAAGAGTATTTTTGCTAAGTGATAACTGGATGTTTCAAAAATATATAATAGCAATCCTGGATATGCCTATGTTCTTTGGGGAAAAAAACTTCTGAGTTATCTTCACTGGGAGCATACTGTAAACACAGAAATTTCTGGCTAAAATTTGTTTTTGTTTTTTGGGTTAAGGATTTTTTTTTTACTTGGACTTTTACATTTGCTTTTTAGATACCTTCTAGCCTATACTATTTTCAATGAAAAGTCAAGTAGTAATTATATTACTATTCCCTTACACTGAACGTGCCAATTTTGTTTTTGGCTACTTTTAAGACTTTTTCCTTAAGTTTGGCATTTAGAAATCTGTGTGCAATATGCCTAATTGTGATTTTCTTTTATATGTATTTTGTTTGGATTTTACTGATCTTAAATCTGTAAACTAGTGTGTATTTGTTTTTAACCAAACAAGAACCTTTCTGCTATTAATTCTTCAAATATTTTCCTCTCTCTACTCTTAAATGGGACTCAAGGCAGAAAGACTTCAGTTTTCAACAACACAAGCTATATACAAGTAGAAAATGCTCTTGATTTAAAAAAAAAAAAAAGCAATCAACTTGAAAGCCTGACCTATCACAATTCCATCTTTCAAGGATTAGTTCTTGGGGCTGGGGATTTAGCTCAGCAGCATAAGCGCCTGCTTTGCAAGTATGTTGTCGTGAGTTTGATCCCTGGTACCAATACAAACGAAAAAGACAAAAAAAAAAAAAAAAAAAGAATTAGTTCTCACTTGGTTTCTACCATAGTGACAAGTTTCTAGGATCCTCCCAGCATACTCACAGCAGTTAGCCAGGGTCATGGTAACAACTGCAGTGCAAATTTGGGCTTTAGTATGTTAGCAATTCTCCCCCAGTTTCAAGATTTTTCTCCTGAATCCCAAGCTACTCTGACACACATCAATTTTGTGCTCTACCTCCTATCGCTAGAGCTATGGGAGTTAGAGAGCCCCCAGGCAAAAAGCCACAAATACACAATTTTTACCCACTACTTTGCTTTACTTTCAAGAAGAAACAAATCCTGTCTTCTCTGTTTTTGGTGTTTTCCTAATACTTTCAAGTAGTTGATTATTTTAATTTCTTCCCCAAGTTTTATCACTGTTATCTGAAGAAGAGTTCCTTCACTTCACCAATTGACAATTTCTTAAAGTTGGTAGTCTTCTAGTATTTAAAGCAAGCTCCTAAACTTGAACTTACAATTTTGTGTATCATAAAATTCTAATTATTGCTAGCACTGTAGTGAAAAACAGAATAACTATATATAACATAAAGTTCTAATATCTAAAAATATAGACATCTACATGGGAAAACAAAAATGAGTAATTTCTGTATATAGCCTATACTGAGGTTGGTGCCTTCCTGACTTGAATGCTTATATAGTAAGTTACATCATGGTCAGGGCTGAAGTTATCAAGCTGAGTCATGACAAAAGGAAGCAAATAAACTACATACAATTAATGGTTAAAAAGAATTTGAGCTCCCCTAAAAAGATCTTCAGACTGTTTTAAATAATGTGCCATGGATTAAAATACTTAACATACCAAGATGGATAATCAGAATGAGGACTCAAACACTTTTCAGAAACAATAACAATGAGTAACTTTCAAGAATGACTTTTTTAAATTAAATACTTACCTTTGTTCTTTTTAAGATTACAAAATATTTTAAATGATTTTGCAAAAGTTTTTCTTATACTAACACAATACATGTAAGAGAAACTGAGAAAGAACTCACAACATTTCTTTTTAGGAAACATATTATTCCTTCATTTATACTGGATACTAAAATTTTATGAAATTCTCACCAAAAAAATCATGAAATTAGCAACTGGAATCTGGAAAAATTTAAAATCTTAAAATAGATCTAAAATCTTAAAATAGAGTATGTAAAATAAATTCAGTCCACTATAGGGAATCATTAAATTAGGCTTTAAAGATTCTGAAGATTCATTTATTGTCATACTGTCCCTAGCCCAAGAACTGTAATCTCCCAACAGTCAAAAGAACCACTCCATGCATTATGAATACAATGAAGAGCAAGAAAGGAAATGGAGACCAAGAGCATCTTTTACACTGAGTTTATAAAAATGAACAAAAATAAGAATATCCACCACTGTTTTCATTGTTTTTCCTTAACCTGAAATACTAATGTGGTGTCTTTGTCCTAAACCAAACACAGGAAAATCTGACTAGAAGACTACAATCAAATTAAAGAGATTTTCCAATGATTTTCAAAAGCAGTTGCCGGTGCTAAAATTCAATCATGAAGAAGAATAAAACAAACCACAGGATTCAAAAGGGAAACTTTGGGAGCATGATAAATGTCATGATTACAGTGATTATTTGTTGAGTCCCAACATATGTTAACATTCACTAAGTTCTCTTTTATATGTAGTTTCATTTCAATTGTAAAAAAAAAAAAAAAGCTTTAAAAAATAAGCAGGAAAAAGGTTCTGCTCTATTTTATCTACTACCCAGCTACCTGAAAGACAAAAATGGAAACCAATTCAGTGTCAGTAACCAAATTCAATAACTAAATGATCACAGGCAAAGAAGATAGTGACACAAGTTTAAAAAGAAAACAAAACTGTATCAGCACTTTCAACAGGAAGCACTACATTCTTAAAGAAAACATCCTGAGACTGCTCACAGGATTATGGAAGCATTGCCGAGGCATTCTAGGTCCCACCCTGTGTACAATGCTCTTGATTTCCATTTCCAAATGGATATGCAACAACACAGAGTTTATCAGGATTTGTAGCCTTACTGTACTTCTCTTCCTTGCACCTCTGCAGAATCTCTAAGCTCCTCTGGTGGACTGGGTGTTGGAGAAAACTAAAACTATCCATACTTTTCAAAATTGCACAGGGCGCTGTATCATCATGTCCTTAGGAAGCAAAAGAAAAACAAAAGAAAGGGAGAGAAGACATTACATAAGCCAAAACCAAAAAAGAACCAAACACAATGCTGCCAACTATCTTAAAATGTATAAACAGTATAAAGATTAAATGTGAGTAATTTTTCTGATTTATCTGAGGAAAGTGCATACAAATAATAGGGAAAAATAAAGTTCCTTTTCAGGTATGCTTACTACCCAAAGTATTATGAGTTGATACATACTAAAGTTTCTAAATTAAAATATTTAGTGACATTTCAAAAACAGTATTATATGATTTAGTTTTATCTTTAAAAAAGATTTATTTCATCTGATCTGACATAATATTAGCAGATAATTGGCAACATTGCTGAAATCCCAAAGAGAAAAATATCCAAAACAGTTCACCAAAACTTATTCTTTCACAAATCCTGCACAAATTAATCACACTTGTAAGGATTCCAAGTGCGTCAATAATCAAAGTGTGAAGAAAAGCACCACAGAGCAAAGAAACCCAGCAGCACTTCTTAAAAATAAATATGAACATGAAAATGGAGACTCTATACCTCACCACCACCTCAGGAAAATGTGACAGAAAATCAGCTACATTGGGAAAGGAAAGACACACATTCAAGTAAAGACCAAATTCCCAGATTAGTGTTCAACAGTGAGTCACTTGGAGGGTTGGGGAATGGAGTGTCCCAAATCATAACATCAGCAATAAAGGAACTGAAAAGAGAAGACAGGGTTTCCAGGCTTTCAGAGAGTTGTATATCATTTTACTCAGAGATCACCTGGAGAGTTAGAGTACAGTATGCAAATTTAAATTGTTTTTCCTTTAAAAAACAAAAAGTGCATAAATAATATAGGCAGATTAAACAACAAAAAACCAAAGAATTACAATTCAGTTAGTGAACTTACTACATTAGGAACAAAATAAAAGGTAATAATATATGAACAGCTTTCAAGACAGAATCATTTTAATAGTTAAACGATGGAAAGGTAATTAATAGAGGTTTTTCAAGTATGTTTTAATCTCACTATAACTCCCTAAACTTGAAACCTAAATTCAGACAATTGGCATCTACATTTGGCAAAAGATAATGTATCTTATAATAAATAAATCAAACATTATACATAAATTTTAGGCTTTTTAAAAAAAGATTTGAAATGAGTACATGGTAATAAAATATTACTAAGTTAATAAAGCACTATCGTTTACCCAATGAAAATCAATAAATGCAAGTGTTCAGTGTTTCAAAAGACACAAGTATAACAAGTTTATCATCATTTCATCATCTTCAGTAAAATATACTGTCCCCATTATTAGTAATTCCCACTTGATGGGCTGCTTGGAGAACACATGCACAAGCATCAGACTAGCCTGCAAATGGTAAGAGTCACTTGAAGGGGGATCAGTTGAGAAAAAAAAAAAAAAAAAAAAAAAAAAAAACCTGGTAAGCTCTATGTATTCCATTCAAATTGCAATTTTAAGAAGTTATTACTAAACTGTCTGGTCTTTCAATGGCCAATTTGATAACCTGGTAATCAGAATTTGAGATTATGAATGCCGAGCATGGAGGCACATGCCTATAATCCCAGCACTCCAGAGGCTGATGTAGAACTGCTGTGAGTTGAAGGCCACCCTGAGCTATATACTGAGTTTGAAACTAGCTTAAATTACAATATGAGGCCCTGTCTCAAAGAATAAAAAGATAAAGAAGATTATGAGTGAAAACTATTCTATGAATGAGTATAGTATATTAAAAATAGGAAATCATACAATATTAGCCAATCATTCATTTCTAAGTACCTTCTACTAGGACCTAGTACAAAAAAACCAAATTCATTTTCATGTTGAAGTATGGTTTTGATGGAAACAGAATTCTTCATTAAGTCTTAATTTTCTTTCCATAGTTGAATATGCTAATCCACCACTTTCCACGCCAATGATAGCTGACAAGAAACCATCTATTGGGGCTGGGGATTTAGCTCAGCGGCATAAGCGCCTGCCTTGCAAGCAGGCAGTCATGAGTTCGATCCCCGGTACCAATAAAAGAGAAAAAGACAAAAAAAACAACAAAACCATCTATTAATCTGCATGAGTATCCTGTGTGCACGATGACTTTTCTATTACAAAATTATTATTTCTTAATCTATCTTCCTTGTAGTGTGTTAAACTTCCTGGATATGTGCATTAATATTTTTCATTAAATTTGAAAAATGATAGCCATGATTTGTTTCTGGTCATTTCTTTTGGACTGTCAGAAGTTGGTACACTTGATGGTTGCTAACAGAGAGCTGTGACACTCTGTTCATTTTACTGCACTCTAATGTCTTCCTGTTCTTTAAAAAGAACAATCCTAATTGATCAGTCACTATGTTCAGGGATTTTTCTTGTGCCTGTTTAACTCTATTGCTAAACTCCTCTGATAAGTTTCCATTTCAGTCACTGCTACATTTTCAAAATATTTTGAAGGGAAAAGGAGTTACAAAATGTAAAGTCTTCTTATAGTGTCTTACATACTTAACCAGGCATTTACATGTGCATTTACATGTATGCATATGTAGTTGCTATCACTTTATTATTACACCACCCCCCCCCCCCGCTTTGGCACTGAGGATCAAACTCACAACCTTGTGCTTGCCAGGCAGGCGCTTATACTGCTGAGCTAATCCCCAGCTCCTTCTCTTTATTACTAACTTTACTGAGATGTTGTTCTCAAAATTTTCTTTACTTCATCAGACATGTTCATTTAGGCCAGCTAGGCAGTTCAAAACTCTGTCTTGGCATCTACACCCTGCTTTAATAGAAGCTCAGTCAGCCAGAGTTAAGAGCTCAGGAAGATCTTGATCTGTCCTGGGCAGGAACAGAGTCCTACACAAGTACACAGACAACTGCATTTCAGGGATACACTAGAATTTCTCAAAGGCATAACAGCTCTCTCATTCCCCAGCTTTCCTTAGAAGTTGTCCGTAGGCTACATTTTGCCCAGTAGCAACCCATCATGTACAGCAGACATGTGCTCGCTGTTCAATAATGCACTCTAGTTGTCTCCAACAGTGTACCTGGGTTATAGGCTGTTCACACTGGGTAAATTCCACATAAATCAGCCTTTACAAAAAAGGTCTTCAGGAAACCACTCAATACCTTGAATGATAAAAATTCTCTATGAATGAGGCCTTGAAAGTGCCAAATCCTTTTGTTTCCCTCCAGTGGTTGGCCTAGTGATTTTCACTATGATTCTGTGCTGCTGGTTTTCAGGGTTAGTACAGAGTGGAGAAGGAAGGGATGGCAAGAGTGTATATTAAAATGTCACAGAGTACACCACCTTTACTGATATTCACCTTTTTTTTCTTGTATAAAAACTTTCGAGGGACTTCCGGGAGAACATGGCAGACAGATAGCAGCAGCTACGGAGGCTCTCTGAAAGAAATAGCTTAGAATCCAGGAATGGTGCGGAGTGAGGAATCCTAAGAGAGGAAATATGCCCTGCTGACCCAAGAACGAACTGGGCTGAGAGAAACCAACTGGGAATGCAATCCCGGTGCTATAACAGGAACACATAAAGCCTCAGCGTGGAAGCTGGAGCCCGCGCCACTGGAAACCGCAATTTGGGTTTCCTGCAGCCGCGGCTGGGTCTGAATCGGCTTAGCAAGGAGAGAGACGCACGAAAGCTCTGAGAATGGGAATCAGTGAACGGAGTTGAGAGTTGGACGAGCGGGGAGCCGTGCATCAACCTGCGGTGAGTGAGAGAAACTGGGACTCTTCCACAATCTAGGAAGCTCCAACAGAGGACATTCTGGGACCGGGCAGACTTGCCGGAACAGGGTGCTGTAGTGACTTCAGTCACATAACCCCCTCTCAAGCGGGATTGGTGAGCAGTGCCTAGCCTACATGACGCTGCTGGCTGAGACCCAGTAGGCTAGCACAGCCCAGGTCCCAGCGCCTGAAGGTGACCTGGAGGGGCAGGCCTCGCACAGACTGCCCAGGTCCCTAACTCCTTGGTGCTTTTCAGCGCAATTCAATCAGACTGTGGCCAACAGGGAAGGAAGCTGGGCCTCCTATATACGCTTGCATATATAAGGAACAAAGAATATGGGAAGATGGAGCAACAAGAAAGGCCCCTCAGCCCCCAATCCCGAGAAACAGGCAATAGCAGACACGGCACCAACAGACATAAAGCGCTATCTCCAGAGCTTCATAGACAAGTTCAGGAATGAAATTATTAATGACCTGAAGCTAGACATAAGCAGAGTAGTTAGAGAAATGCTAAGCACCACCCAAGAAAAAACAGATGATGGAATGGAAGAACAGAAAAAGAGGGGAGAATGGTTTGATGGAGAAAATAGAGAAAGCATAGAATACGTGAAGCAGGTTCAAAGAGATTACCAGAAAACTAAAAACTCTATCGAAAGCTGGAATAACAGCTTGAAAGAAACTAAGGATAGATTATCTGAACTGGAGGCCAGATTTGTAATATGGGAGCATGAAATGAAAAACTTCTTAAAAATAACAAAGAAACAAACAGCAATAATACAAAGACTAGAAGATGATAAGAGGATCTATAACTTAAGAATTAAGAACATAAAAGAAGAGGTAGGGACACAAACAAATGAACTACAAAAGCTACTCGCAGAAATAATCCAGGAGAATTTTCCTAATTTAGCAAAAGGTAAAGATACTCAAATTTATGAAGCATTCAGGACCCCAGGCACCTACAACCCAAACAGAGTTTCACCCAGGCATATAATAATCAAAATACCAGAAATCCAATATAAGAATAGAATATTAAAAGCCGTCAGAGACAAGAAACAGATCACTTACAAGGGAACACCCATCAGAATTACAGCAGACTTCTCGACACAAAACATCAAATCACGAACAGCGTGGGGGGAAATAATTCAAGCTTTGAAAGATAATAACCTCCAGCCAAGATTGATATATCCTGCACAACTATCCCTGGAAATTGATGGAAAAACAAGGTGCTTCCAGAATAAAGAGGAACTAG